AACCCTGAATGATCTGAGTCTCTCCTCCATGATCTTCATAATGCCCTCCTTGACCGTCCCAAAGATGATTGGGGTACCGTCAAGGATGCCCTTCGTAACCTCGGCTGCAATGATATCGCGCAGTCTCTCATCAATAGGCTCGGTATCGCTGTCCGATCCAGACCCAGACCCCGATCCCGATCCTGATCCTGATCCCCCTGTCCCGAATCGTGTCACCACCATGTTGAACTGAAATGTCATAAGTCAGGACATCTATAAAGGGGATCTTCCCACATCGGTCCTCCTTAGAGTGATCGGATCTAGCATTGGCTCGGGCACAGGTCCTGTGCTTTCAGTAGTACGGGCCCAATACTACCTTCCACACCTACCTGTACCTTTCCCCAACGCTCTACCTGATAACTCCAATTCGACCCAAAACAAATCATATACTACAAAACCACCGCATAACCCAAATCCTAGGATGTCCTAAGATTTGCTCTACCCATATCATACAGACCAATCATAACAGGTTGCCTTTATGCATGCAAATTATACACAGAAAAGGATCAAATAGACTTTCGAATAAAAGATTCTACCCTAGGACCACAACCAAACAAGGAACAGGAAATAAGGCCAAATCAATCATTCTGAGGCTATAAGCTCCTAACCGTATACAATTTTAAAAGCATACACATAGCAAATCTCATACGATCATCAAGCTCAAATATCAGTATAACATGGCTAACACATTGGGAACTACTTACTTGGCTCAGCCGATCGCGCGCGTTGCACTCTCTTCTTTTTATTTCTTAAAAGTTTTTAACTTTTATTTTGAAAACAGTTTATAATTTCCTTAGTTTGAGTCCTGACACGCCCGAGAGTGTACCCGAATCCCTCAAACCAAGGCTCTGATACCAACTTGTAACGACCCAATTTTTCAAAGAATTTTTTCATTTTTAATTAACCAAACACATTCCCATAAATCAAGAAATTCCAAAACAATTGTTTCAAATCCAAAATCCATTACAACTTTATTTTCAAATATAGAGTGTCCCATAAAGTCGCCTGAGAGAGAGTGCACGCCGCGCCATCAAGCTTTGCCCTTGCCCTTGGACTCAGATGAACCTGAAACAAATCCACAAATTGTAAGCGAATGCTTAGTGAGTCCCCCATAGCATATCCCACACACAAACCACATAACACATATCTAATTAGCCATACACTACATATATCACATAAGTCATGCATTCGACAAATAAGGAAGCCCTGGAAACCCTCCTGGGTCTTATACCAAATGTCACGGGAACCCCCACGTGGTCTTTATCTGTCATGGGAACCCCCACATGGTTTTCCTGCCTTCGGAACCCCCACAAGGTCTTCCTACCAAACAAGACATAATGGAAACTATACAAGCAAATGTTTTAGGATGCCATGGAAACCCTCCAAGGTCCTATGCCAAATGCCACGAAAACCCCCACGTGGTCTTCCATGGAAATGACATACTATCATATTGCATATCCAATCAATAAACCGTATCTCATAAAATGGGCCGGCCTTGGTGCCTTAGACCCATTGATATGGTGAGAAGACTCACCTCTCCAAGGCAGAACTGGCAAACTGAAATCAGATATATCCCATGCTGCTCCTCCCAAACTGCCTATAATCATTGAGTAAATAACTCAGCATAATCCCATAAATACCCTGAGGGTCAACCCTGGTCAAAGTCAAGGTCTATAGTCAAGGTCAACAGTCCATATTGACCTTGACTCGTCGAGTACAACCAATCACTCGTCGGGTTCCCTGCTTAACTCATCGACTCGTCGAGTCACCAGAGGGACTCGTCGAGTTCCTTGATGTTCACGGCCATAAACCACCAACTGAACACCCTTGACCGTAAACCCTTGGCCGTGAACCCGTGGCCGTAAACCCTTGGTCGTGAACCCTTGGTCGTAAACCCTTGGCCGTAAACCCTTGGCCGTGAATGAGAAAACCCTCTCGACTCGCCGAGTCTCTTGCATGACTCGCCGAGTCCCCTTAGTCCATTATGTTTACGGCCTTTTCCAATGGGACTCAAGGTCCCAAACTTCAGATCTAACCTCTACTAGTGTGGATAACACGTAAAGTTGAAAACTTTACGTGCATGCAAGGCCTCACATGGCCATAACACCAAAACTAACCTTCAACAAGGTTTTCATGCATGGAGAGGGAATGAGCTTAATAAAAGGTGCAACTTTATGATATTTGGGACCTAAGAAGGTCCAGGTCTGGAACCATATCCTTGTGATAGGTCCAGATCTAAGCTTGCTTCCATTTCCTCAAAGTTGGTTATAACTCTCAAATAGAATCTAGGCTTAAGGTAACAGATTCATACCTCAATTCAATGCCCAAGACGAACTAGATGCTAGATATAGTGTTTTCCCCTTGATACTTCTTCTTCAAGCTTGGAATTCCTTCCACAATCCCAAGGTTTAAGCTCCCAAAGCTCTTACTTCATACACCCAAATGTTTGCGGCCGTAAACGATCTCTTATGACGTTATGGGAGGCTACAAAGGTGTATAATGTCGTTTATATAGGGGCAAACCCCAAAATTTAGGGTTTTCTTTAAACAGCTCGGACTCGCCGAGTCGGTCCCGTCCCACGTTCCATGATATCACGACTCTACTCGACGAGTTGGGCTCCCAACTCGACGAGTTCATGCACCAACACCCTACAATAGCAAAATCCAACCAATAGTAGAAACAGGTGTTACAGCTAAGGTGATGAGGGAGGCGGGGTAATGGGCTTAGAGTCCTTTAAATAGGGTGCAAACCCAAATAATTAGGGTTTTCTCACTCAGCTCCAACTCGTCGAGTTGATTCTAAAACCCACGCGGCCACCTCAGCCTCTACTCGACGATTTGGGGCCTCCAACTCGCCGAGTTGCCCTTTCAAAATGAATATTTAACAATAGAATTTATACATGGGAGTCGGGATGTTACAAACCAACCCACCTTCTTCGGCTCATCCTATGACCACTCGGTCTCAGGTAGGTGTTACTAAACCTATCTCTCGTCTCAACCTCCATACTACCACCTTATCTCTCCCCTCTCACCGATTCCTGCCTCTATATCCATAGCCCGGTCTGATCCCAATTGGTTACTAGCCATGGAAGACGAATTTAGAGCGTTACAGGTAAATGAAACATGGGATCTTGTCCCTCGCCCGTCCGATAGTCCAGTTATTCGTTGTATGTGGCTGTTCCGCCACAAGTTTAAAGCAGACGGTTCGCTTGGCAGATATAAAGCACGACTGGTTGTTAATGGGAAATCCCAAACGGTAGGGATTGATTGCCACGAGACATTTAGTCCAGTTGTGAAACTAGCTACTATTCAGACCGTTCTTAGTATCGTTGTGTCCCAGGCATGGCCGATCCACTAGTTAGATGTTAAGAACGCCTTTCTTCATGGTGATCTTCATGAGACTGTTTTTATGCACCAACCTCCACGATTTGTGGATGCCCGGTTTCCTTCTCATGTGTGTCGTCTCAGGAAATCTCTATATGGACTTAAACAAGCCCCTCGTGCCTGGTATACTAGATTTGCCACTTTCATCACCTCACGTGGCTTCCGGAGCAGCATATGTGATGTTTCACTATTCATGTATCAGCATGGTCGACACCGTGCCTACTTATTGCTCTATGTTGATGACATTATCTTGAGTGCCTCCGATTCTGTTTTTTTGCGCAGTATTATCACCTCTTTGTCTCGAGAGTTTGCAATGACTGATTTAGGGGCCCTTCACCATTTTCTAGGTATCACGGCCACACGTGATCAACACGGTCCGTTCTTGTAACAAGCATCTTATACTCGTGACATTCTTCAGCGAGCTTCTATGGCTTCTTGCAAGCCTTGCACTACCCCGGTGGACACGTCCACTAAACTCGGTGCCACGGATGGTGAACTTCTCGTTGATGGCACCCTATACAAGACTATTGCTGGAGCCCTACAATACTTAAAGTTCACTCGTCCGGATATTACATATGCTGTTCAGCAAGTTTGCTTATTCATGCATGCCCCGAGAGAGCCCCACTTTCAGTTCATGAAGAAGATTTTTCGGTATCTACAGGGCACCATTGACTATGGTATTCAGTTGGTTGCTTCCCCATCACACACTTTGGCTGTTTACTCTGATGCTGACTAGGGTGGATGCTCTGACTCTCGCAGATCTACCTCCGGCTATTGTGTATTCCTTGGCCAGAATCTAGTCTCTTGGTCGTCTAAACGACAACCTACGATCTCCCGATCTAGCGCTGAAACAGAGTATCGAGGAGTTGCAAATGCTGTCTCAGAGACCACATGGTTACGAAATTTGTTACTTGAGTTGCATGTTCCTCTTCGCAAGGCGACGATAGTCTATTGTGATAATATTTCTGCGGTTTATCTGTCTCATAATCCAGTTCAACACCAGCGCACAATATATTCACATGAAACACCATCTCCACGATCCAAATCCTATGGAAATTGTTTGGCCGTAAACCATCACTATATATATATATATATATATATATATATATATATATATATATATATATATATATATTCCATTATCGATTTAGAATAAGAAATGATTCCAAAATAAAACTATTTGCGGCCATTGAAAGAAAACCAACCTCAAAAGCAAACTATTCGTAAAAAAAAATAATACACCCCGATCTATTGTGTGTCCATTGAAATATGACTTATTTCCGAAATAACCTATATCACCGTAAACAAAACTATTCCCTCTCCCTGCGTGCTCATTGGAATATTACATGTTTCTGAAAGGGAAACAATTTACAAAATCAAACTATATGCGACCCTCCAAATAGAACGTTCAAAATCTATTCACTCTTGTTGCTTTGCGTGGGCAAACGATTACTATGGGTTCTGAACCTAATCACACCAAAAATAAAAGCCAAAAAGAACGTAACAAAAAAAAGTTATGGATGAAAATCAAAATTTTGAAAACCCGACAAATTTTAAAAAATCAAATGTAAGTTCAAAAACAAACAAACAGATTTGTTTCAACTCCTCATCTCTTTCTCTCGTCACTGTCAAATAATCTGGTTCTTCTTTAAATTTTCAATTTTGACACCAATTTCTCTATGTAAGTACTAATCATTCGCTTATCTCTGTACATATTAGATTTTCACGAAATCTTTTTTTCATTTTGGAGTAAACAATTTCGATTTGTAGAAGATAAAAGAAGATTCTCGTTAAAGTGCTTCATTCAAACTCAAAAAAAGTAGTTTGATTTCTTCGGCATAACCCCACCACTATCATTACATGATACCAGTTCGTTGATTATTGTGCAGCTAATTGCTCCACCCACCTCCTTTTCGCCTGAATTTTAGGGTTTTCGCTCCTTCGCAATTTCAAATTAATATTCCTTCTGGTGGTGAAATCATCTTGATTTCCCTGTTTCTCGGTCTCAAAATTTTCAATTTAACTTCCCACTTTTGTACACAGCGTTTCTCTTTTTTTTTTCTTGATTGATCGTACTTGTGGTATATTTTGGATTCACTTTACTTCTTAGAATATCTTCTCCTTATCAAAAAGAGAAAGGGTGGTCTTCTCATGGCGTTTCAGCCGTCGGATCGACCAGGTCCAAGCTCAGGATCGAGTTCAAGTTCTGGATTTCAGCATAATTCCCCTTTTGGTGATACCACTTTGACTAAAATTTTTGTCGGAGGGCTTGCGTGGGAGACACAAAGTGAAACTCTGCGACAATACTTCGAGCAATTTGGAGAAATTTTTGAAGCTGTTGTGATCACTGATAAGAACACTGGCAGATCCAAGGGCTATGGTTTTGTGAGTATTATCGTGATTTTAATTCTTCTTTTTTTTTTTTTGTAAAATATACAATAAGCCATGCATAATTCGTGTATCTATTTTGAAATATTGAATGGATATGTGTGGAGGATTTAGGTGACTTTTCAAGAACCTGAATCTGCAAGGAGAGCATGTCTTGATCCTGCTCCGGTTATTGATGGGAGACGAGCAAATTGTAATTTGGCCTCACTTGGAAGGCCTCCTCGGCATTCGTTGCCATTTGGTAAAAAAAATTATTTTTATAAAAGACAATTTTAATGAAACTTCGTGTTTTCAGGGCGAGTTTGGCAACAAACTTTCGCGAGTTTTTAGTTTTTTTTTTTTTTTTTAAATAAGAGCTAAAAGCTTTATTTTAGAACAAAAAAAATCCTAATCCGAAAGCTATTTCGAGTAGTGTTTAAAGAAATACTATTGTAACAAAATTACTAGGTTATCCTTTAAGAAAAATCACGAATATATTTTTATATTGGTCAAAAGATTACAAGCTTACAGTTAAATTTGCCAAACAATTCTATACAAATAGAAGCTACAACTTCCAGCTCCGAATAAAAGCTACAACTTCATGCTACCCACTATTTTTGCCAAACATACCCTTAGTGGATTAAATGATTAAGAGTGTGTTTGGTGGTTGCGGAAAATTTTCTAGTTTTCCATGAAAATTTTGAAAACGCTTTTGGTTGATTCAGTTTTATAAAAATATTCAAGAAAATGAAATTTTTTTGTTTTCCAAATTTTATGTAAATTAGAAAAGTAATTTTTATAGTTTTCCAAAGTTTTCTAAATTTCTAAGATGGAAAATGAAAACTCCACCGTTCCAACCAAATGCGTTTTCTAAAATTTTCATTGAAAACTGAAAATGAAAACTCAACTCTATTTTTTGAAAATATTTTCATAGAAAATGAAAACAGTTTTCCATAACCAAACGCACCTTAAATGTTTTGGTTTCTTGTGGTAGGATCTTTGAGATCACCAACGCCTTATTTTGGAAGTTATGGCTATCAACAACATCTTCCTTATAGTTACCAACAAGGATTAACATATCCCTCATACACGTAAGTTGTTTTTCTATTTGATTATATTCTTATTATTCACTTGTATATATGTGTGTAGTCTTACATTTTATTAGTTATAGTTAAATATTGTATTCAACAGAGTTAAACTCATACATTGTATTTTATACTTATAATATAAAAAAATTCATATAAATATTGTATTCACCATGCCCTTTCCATTCCTTTGTTATTTCATTTTCATTCCATTCCTATGCGATGTTTTCTAGTTTCTATGTAATTATTAGTATGCACAACACAAGTACATGTAGTTATATGGTACTTGCTATTTTATTTGTGCAGGTATCCAACATTTGGTCCCGAATACGTCTACCCACAGGTCAATAGTGCATACCAACAAAAATTTAATCACATGTCTTAATTATAGTAATCTTATAATTCTCACCTTCTTGAAAGACCTATTTACTTTTTTTTAATAGGGAATTTACAATCCATATGTGGGTCAGCAACAATATGCTCAGATATATGGTGTACCCAACACACAAGTGTATCCATACAACCAAACATTGAGTGGTCAACAGATTTTTCAATTTGGTGGGCCCGGTTATAACGGAATTCAAACTTCTTCAATTCAAGCACCATATCCAACAGGTATGCCAAACATGGAATATTTCTTTACATTTGTATGGTTATAATCGTATGGGAAATTGCTCATATCTGTAGTGATGTATGTATGTGTTTGGTATATTAGGTAAAATGGGTTAATGTTGCTTGCTTTTGGTTTGTGTTATGATCAGGTGTTGCAGGGCCTATTTCGGTAGTTCCTGCACCACCACAACCACAGTTCATTCAAGGGGGAGGTTCTGGAGCAAATGCAGGAGGGTAAATATTTGGTTAAGGTTAGTGCATGGGTTGTTGATTTTTGTTCTGGTAATCAGTCAAAATATGAGAAAAGAAAACTCAATAATTTGTTTTTGTAGGTGTCCATAGATTGCAACATGATTATGAGCAACATTAGTGCTACTTGAGTGGCAGGGGCCTTTGATTTACCCTTGCAACCTATTCGCATTCTAGAGGTACCATTGCAACATGTTTCATGTAAACATTAACTTTTGTCTAATTTACATATTCGGTCCCTGTACTTAGCACCATTTGTTTCAAGATGTTAACCCTTGTAAAACAAGGGGCAAACAGCATTTCTAAGAATTTAAAAGCTTGAAACAGACTGTTAGGATCAAGACCAAAAGCATCATGGATAAAATAAATACCAAATTGTAAAATGGTTTTTTATTGACCTAAACGAAAAAAAATTACATAAGCAAAAGGACCAACTTGTAATTTTGTCTAGTAAGGGTGAGTTCAAAACATAACCAAATTAGAGTAACTACTTTTAATTATTTGAGTTGTGTGGTTTTCTTAATTATATAATTTAGAGTAACTACTTTTAACCTCATTCTAGTGCATAAATGATAAACCTGACGATACTTTTGTGATGCAGGTCATATACAATCATGCTCACCAGAGAAGGTATCTTCCGATTTGCTTCTAGTGATGGGAGAAGTTATTGTCCAATTTGCCTCTTCTTCCTTAGTGCCACCACTTGGCTTCTTGGTCTACTGGTATTATGGAATACCGGTAGAAGTCGGTGTCCATGGTTCTATGTAATAAACAAGAACTGACATTGGAATCAACATATGATTCTTGTTAAATTCACAATGCCTGTTGTTATTATCCTGTCTCCCAAAGGGTGGGGGCTCAGGATCTTCTTTTACTTAAAAAAGCATAATTATGTGTTTATGTGGCTTGGTGCTTTTCACTTATAATACGCTGCTTTTAATCAGCAATCAAACTCAATCCAATCGTTTATTGTTCATTAGTAACTTAATCCAATTTTGCATTATTTTAGTTATTTGCTAAAAGGACCATATAAATGGAAGTGTGTCATCACTCATCACATTGACTATCATTTTTCATACTTTAATATAATAACCACTGGTATTTCGTGTATTAGTAACCGTGAACTAGCGGATTTGTTTTTCTAACGCAAACCATCACTACATAACATTTTTTGACACTTCATTTTTTGCTGAGGAATATAATTTCTCTTCACTAAAGAGTCATGAGATCATCTATTTCTATATGTTTAAGGGTGTAAATATTATATCTTTAGATATTGATCTGATTATTGTATTATAATTCTTAGCTCCTTCTAAATGTGGTCATTCGTTATCATTTCGATGTGATTGTGATTCAATATAAAAACACATGAAGTATGTTGTTTCTTAGTCGTTATCAATTGTTGGTGTTCCACCTCCTTCTCTCCATATCAATATGATCATTTTAGTGAATAACTTTTTTTTATTTATTGAAACAAATATAGTGTATGAACAATTTTTAGTTTATTTAAAAGATAAACAAATATCTAAATCAATTATGTTATTTCAAAACAAGCTAAATTAGTTATTAGTTATTTTAAATATTTATATAAACTTAAAATTAAGTATAAAAATTAAAATTTTGAAAAAATATATCATTAATAGTCTCTATTGGTAGAGAATAAAATATAATTTCTTTTAAATTTCGTTTTTTAAGAAATAATCTCTAATTTGTAATTTATAAAGTTTGTTAGAATAGAAATATGACATGTGGCATGATAAAGTGATTTTCATAGATGGAAGTCAGAGTTTTGGTAGAGAAGAGATTGTAAATTCTGTTTTCTTTTTTTAATAGAATCTTTAGTCATATAAGTAAAACCAATCTTCATGATTCACCAACAAAGATAGTCTTAACAATATGAAGAGTTAATACACCTATTTCTTGGCCCTCTTCAAGAGAAATTTCAAGGAAAAAACCCCAAGCACAAAAGTTTGCCAAAACCACCCTCTGGAATTCCCTGGATCCACTCTCTTAGCCAATCTCCAAGCATAAACAGCTTCACCAACATGCATTGCAATGGCCCAAGCTGCCAGTATCCTCAACACCAACATGGAACGTAAGAAGAAAAGGCATATGGATCGAAGGAGTGGCACAGGCGTAATATCAGGGAAAAATGCGGCTGCAATTACTGTTGACATTCCAAACACGCAGAAGAACCATGCGTAGATTGTGGGCCCATCTAAGCTTTTTCGTTTTTGTTCTTGGTAGAATGAGATGGTGGTAGCCATGCCTTGTTGAGGGGTTGTCATTGGGGTGTACCCCAGCTCCTGTTTTGCTTTTAGGTAATTAAAATAATGGGTCACACCCACCTACATATACCAAAAACAAAAAGTATAAATAGAGTTGGTTTGACCAAAAATATAATACAAAATTTTGTCATCGTGGTGTGAAAATTGTAATTTCTTTCTTTTTGATATGGTCCCCAACGGAACTTTGTTGCTTTTTTATCCATGTGGCTTCATTTTTGGTTATCAACTTATCATTATGTATTTTTAATACTTTTTTTATTAAAAGATAAATAAATAAATCATAAATGTGGGCAAAATGATCATTTTACCAGGATTGGATCCAATGCTCTGAAAATATTCGTTACTTTTTGACCCATATGGTTTAATTTTGTTATGGATAGGTCCAATTTTGTTATGGATAGGTTCGCCTATTTTTGGCGTTGTGGTGTGAAGTCCTGGTGAAATTACTATTTTGCCCCTCACTAATGTATTTCTAAAAAATAAAAAATTTCGTGAGGGAAAAATGTCAATATACCATGGTCCCTAAACGAATGTTTGTTATAATATTATTATATGAGTGGTTTCGGTTTGTTTTGGATTTGGTCCTAAGACTCATTCCTGTCTATTTTTGTTGCTAGATCATATGGTAAAATTATCCTCCCTTATCAAATTTCTATTAAAAATACACAAGTTGGGGAAAATTCGTCATTTTACCATATAATTCCAAAACAGAATAAAACCACAGGGAGAAAAAAAAACATCAAAATTCGAAAAGGGGGCAAAATTAAAGCCAAATGAATAAAGAAAACCACAAAATTCTTTTAGGGACCATATCTAAAAAACAATATAGCACAGGGACTGAATTTGTAATTTAGTAGTTAATAATAAATGAAGATAAACATAGTTTAATGAACCTTGTAAACTTCTGCAGGGAGCAACAAGGGTTGAGGAAGCCAAGCACGATTCAACCAAGGATACATGATTGTGTAGAAAATGGAAAATACTTTCCCCAAAAAAAGAGCTCTTGGAAGACTTAATGACGCCTTTGGCATATCATACTCTAAACCTCCCAACAATGGCCGTAGAAATTCAAAAGTGTTCACAGGACAACCTGTTTATCATAATTTTAATTTTAACTATAAAATGAAAATTGTTATTAGAGTAACACCTTTAAAACATAAGTTACAAGCTTACAGCAACAGATGAAAAGGGACACAACACACTTTCTTTATTTGTGCATTATATCATATTGTTTATTTCTATTTCAGCATTGTAGTTTTAACTTTATTTCTTCTTAAGGCGTTGTGCTTTGAAAAATCTACCCAATTATAGCATTTTTTTTTCTTCTTATTAGGATATTATCAAAATCAACCTAGTTATAGCATTGAAAACTGTTTCATGTTGGAATGGATTGCTAATTTGCTATAACTGAGTAGATTTTTCAAAGTAGAATGTTGTAACATAAAGAAATACAAGAAGAATGCTATAACAATAAAAAAATTTTAAAAAAGAAAAAAAGTGAAAATTACCATCTGATATGAAGTATGGCTGGCCAGCAGCAACTGGTTGTTTTCCTCTTCCAGGAATATCATCCAAAAGTCCCATACTTGCAAGAACTAATGCCAAAACCAAGTTATCAATATAAACCCAATCACTTTTCACATTTGAATCCCCAATTTTGAATGGAAGAAGCCCTAATTTTGCAAGACTGATAATTCTGGGAATGTGTCTTTCTTCACCAGGTCCATATATAGCAGCTGGACGTATTGCACATGTGTAAAAAAATTCTCCCTTTTTGTTCCTATAAAACAGTAACCAACAAAAAGTACATTACCCTTTTATAATAAGAAAAAAAAAAAAGAGACTACATTACTAATTCTTGCATTTAGTCGTAAAAAATATTGAAAAAAAATATATATATTATACTTACTTAGAAGGGCGCCCATTGGTTTTAAGCACAAGCTGCTCAGCAATAGATTTGCTTCTGCTATAAGGATCAACATGGATGTCCAAAGGGATATAAGGCAGCCTTTCATTTCCATTAATAATTTCATTTCCAGCAAATACAACATTTGCTGTACTCACATATACAAGTCTCTTGACACCATTTTCATGGCAAGCTTCCAAGACATGACACGTTCCATTAATATTCACATCATCAACTCGCCCAAATTGAAGCATTTCTTTACCAGACATGCCAAATGAAGCTAAGTGGAAAACACAGTCTACTCCACGTAATGCCTTCTCCACATCTTTTCTATTACTGATGTCCCCTAAAAGCATAAATTTCCATCAACTGAGTTGCATATAATATATAGAAATGTCATTGCCCTAGGGCCTAGACCCTAGTTAGCAACTTCAAGTATATTCTGGTAAAGTACACAATCGAATTTCACAAAATGTTCATTGATTTGTTCCCTTTTCCAACTCCATGATGACTTGCAGTTGTCAGTTCATTCTAGCTTTTGTTCAGAAACTATGGTTAAGGATTATAGAAGAGAAGTGCTATGGTTCATAACCTTCTTGGTCCCTGTAGGAGCTTAATGATTAACCTATCTTCTAGAAGATCCAATTGTTTATCCAGTCAATTATTTTCAATCTACTAATTTCTACCACGTTCATAGATCGCATGCAATTAGAACTGAATCTAACTCTAGAATACCTAATTCTCGAACTAAATCAACAAACAAGAAGAATCTCAAATTTCAGCTGAACACATCCCTAATTTTAGAAGAGAAAAAGCAGTTAATACCTTTAACATAGTGGACTCCGATTTTGAGAAGATGATCGGACCAAGGAGAAGTTGATCTTAGATCAAAAGCTCGAACAAGACGCGCGCCTCTACGAACCAGCTCCAAACACAGTGCTGAACCCACAAAACCCAATCCACCTGTAACAACGAACGCCTTTCCCTCTATACCCTCGTTCTCACTCAAATGCATCTCTGCGAATTCGAATTGTGTGTATTTGTGACACGCACAGTATCGATGTGAGTAGCAGAGATCTCTGGATTCGAGGGATCAAAATCAAGGTTGATTTAATCAGCGTTGCGACTTGCGATTTGACCTTTGACTTCTCACTATGCTCGTCTTCGCACCAAACTATCACTCAATTTTACACTAGGCGACCGCTTTGCACGTAACTTTTTTTTACAGCCTTTCATATTCTTATTGATTTGTTCCTTATATTTTATTTTGTGGTTATTTTTAATTAATTTTTTTTATATGATATTTTATGGTTCTTTTTTATTTTATTAATTTTCACATAGGTAAATATAATAATTATAATAAATGCATATCAATTTCATTAATTAACTTTGTTTTAATTTCAAAATTTCTAAATTAAAGTTTCATTAGTTTCCTTTGTTTATTTATTTAAATTAGTTGTTTAATTTAAAAGAAAAACAAACAATTTAATTTTAATAAATCAATATTTTTCTATTTTTTCTTATAAATTCAAAATTCTTAAATGTTTAGAATTTCATATTTTTTTCTTTAAAATGAACTCATGTAATACATGAGTTTTACACCTAATAATCTAATAAAATATTTCGTCTATATGGATCCATATAGAGCTTATGCATAAAAATAATTAAACTATATTTTATTTATTATATTATTTTTAATTGTTGTTAAAATTAATTAGTAGATATAGAGCTAGGTTCAAATGTTTAAAGTAATTATTGTGTTATTGTATGCATAAATATGGGTCAATCAAAATTTAAAATATAATTAAATAATTAAATAAATAAATAAGGGTAATTAGGTAATTTTATAAACAACTTCCACAAATACTTTCCTACAATTATGCTAGTTGATTTTAACCTAATTTATCCCCATTTAATTACCACCGATCTATTTGTACATCGATGAAGGTGAGAAGGAAAGCACGAAGCGGCTGCAAGGTCCAATGGATGTACAAATAGATCCATTTCTTAAGGGGTACTCGACGAGTCTGTAGCCCGACTCGTCGAGTAGAAGCGGGATGAGCTCGCGATTTAAGTTGGCTACTCGGCGAGTCCATATGTTGGGACTCGGCGAGTCTGCATGTCTGGATGAAGCCCTAATTTCAAGGGTTTGTTCCCTATTTAAACGTCATTATAGCCTCCCACCCCAGCCTCCAGCACCTTTAGAGCATTTCCCCTATAAACCCTAGCCCCCATTGTTGAACTTGAGTATGTTTGTGCTAGTTTGGAAGCTTTGGAAGGGAAGGAAGGAAAGAAGGTCCATAGAAGAGAAAGGAGATCCAAGAGTTAGCTTCCATCTGTTTCTCATTCAGGTAATAAAGTTATTACCTTGTGTATTCCTCCATTAAACCCTCTTTTATGCTTGTTATGTCTTCTTTGGAGCCTTATATGACTCAAAACTTGAGATATGGACTTTCCTTTGGATGGAAACCTTAGATCTGGACGTTATTGAACTCCAGGAGCTCATTATAGCCACCTTTATGAAATCTTGGCCTTGTTCCAAACCCTAAGAGCCTAGTATTTGATGATTTTGGGTATTTTAGCCTCATACCCTTGTGCATGCACGTAAAGTTGGAAACTTTATGTGTAAAACCAGTCCTAGAAGCTCAGATCTATGATTTGGAAGCACTGAAATAGATTAAAATCGACTGTATAGTAATAGCATGCTTGGGACTCGACGAGTTGTTCTTCAACTCGGCGAGTTGTTCTTCAGACTCGACGAGTTGTTCATACGACTCGGCGAGCCACAGACTGGACGTGTTTGTCACACCCCGATCCTTGTCGGAATCGATCGAGGCGTGATATATTGTTCAAAGTCTCATGACAACTATGTTATAATATGATTAGATTCAATTAAGTACTAAGTATGCAAACAAGATCCACAACATACAAATACAAATCCAAATATGAACAACATTTATTACATCAAATTTAAATAGTCTTGTGGATTTCTAAGGCACAACCTATTTTTCATCAACTTCATTCTTCAAATCTGCATCATGGGTAAAAACAGGTCAACTACGAGAGTTGGTGAGTAATCTAATTTTAGTAGAGAAAATTGTGAAGTTGAAACCTTTATAATTGGAAATTTGTTTTCTTTTGAAGTCGGCAAACAATTGTATTTGAGATAACGGTTTATAAATCAACAATTGATTAACAAATGATAACAACAACAATAAGTCCTCACCCTATATATACATATGTATATATATATATATATATAAGTATATATAGGATGGAGCATCTAATCATCATACACACTCAACCACGTGCAATCAATCACCTTAGCGTCCCAAGGCGGGGTGGTCAACCCAATAGCGCTATTATTGTCCATAACGTACCTCAAGAATACGGGCATAGTCATGGAGATTAGACTAAAAATGATAATGCACTACAAGTACATGTAGCGTAAACAAACAATAGTTATACAATTAATGACTCACGTATAAATGTCCCAACAATGTCTCAATTGTGATAAAACAATAAAATGAAGTTGGAACATATTAGAACCACATGATACACCCCAAAAGTATTGAAAATTATAAAATATGGGGTAGATTACTCACATTAGTCCCAAAACGAAATGCGTGTGTCGTACGATAGACGATTCGGGTCAAAATGGCGTAGAACCTAATATAATTAATAGTTTTGGTTTAGGAACTGCTAAACGAGAATGGAGTATTAATACAAATAATTAGACACATATTCTTATATTAGATGAATTAACAATAATTCATTTTGATTATAATATTAAGGTATTTATTTGTTAAATGAATTTTAAATTGAATTACTTACTTTGCATAATTAATTTATATTTTCAATTTAGGCCAGATTTTAATAATTTCTTATTAAAATAATAACTTGCCCAATTATAGTTATTTACAGATTTTAACAATTATTTATATGAAATAATCATTAAAATGCATTTTTACATGCTTAAATACTTAGGAAAATAGTTTTAAATAGTAAACAGTATTGAAAAATTATGAAATTATTAGGAAATCATTATTTCATACAATATGAATTACTGTAAAATTTGTATATTTTTCTGAACTGTTTTAGTATTTATTTAATATTTTAATGATTAAACAACACAAAATTCGGGAAAAATAGTAAATGATTCTCAAAAAATCTGTAAAATTAACCATAGTTTTATAACATGATGTAGAGCTCAGTGTATAAGTTTCAGATATTTGTGACTATGGGAAGTATTTTTTATATATTTCATTATTAATTAATCAATAAAATCATAAATAATAGTAAAAAGTAATATAAATGCATGAAACTTCATATATCATGTTTAATCAGTATACATGTCATCCCAGAATTTTCTCAGAATTTATTGAATGCAAAAAGTATTTTATGTGAATTATTGCCCTACTTTATTGCAATAATTATAGTAATTCAATAAAAATAAATTATTTTCTGAAAATTTCCAGAACTTCTTATTTTATTGATGGGATTCTGAGAAAAATCAGGTTTATGCATAAAATGAGTTTTAGATATTTTGGTGGATTTAATTTGTTTCTTGTATGAATATGAAACTTTTAACAACATACCTTGATGAATGCTTCAAGAGGGATGAAGATTTGAGTATAATAGATTGTTCTTGGATGGAATATGAGTATTCTTGGAGGAAATTTCGAGATTGAGAGTGAGAGAAAGAATAGAAAAGGTTTAAGTGGTGAAGAGAATAATGTGTTGGGAGAAAAAGGAAAGGAAAGTGGATGGGAGGTGTGAGTGGGAGACCATGGGAATAATCTTTTTGCTTTTGGTGGTCTTCATAATTTCCCACTAACACAAGCATCTTTTACATAATTAATATAAGAGTTTTATAAAATTTAATGTAAAGTTTATAAAAATAGAGTTTTATAAATTTAATGTAAAGTTTATAAAAATGGAGTTTTATAAAAGATGAGTTATTATTTGATTATAACAATCTACTTTGATTTGAAGTTTAATTATAGCATTCAAGTTTGATTCTTTTAAATTTAATTAGAGCATTATACTTTGATTTGATTTTAATATGGTATCATAATTTAATTTGATTATAGTTATAACGTTGTACTATACTATGTTGCTATTAACGTCAATTTATATCGTAGTGTATGAGTTTCGATCCTATTAGCGTCAAGTAATCTTGAGTAGGGTTTGAATGAGATTGCGAGAGGTTTCGTTTGTGATCTTTTTGAGTGTCCGGCTTCGCAACGCAAGGTCCATAGACCCCGTTAAGCCATGATTTAGTGTCCTACACAATCCCGATGATTGTGCAATAGTGTTTTATCGCTTTGGTTATTGTTTAGCACTGTTAAGGCTAAGGAAAATCAAACACATGAACTTTCCAAATGATGTTTTCTCATTAAAATAGCGAATTGTACAGTGATTACATAACGTAAACCCTATCATACAAGGGTTAATGGAGTTGACCGGTTTGACTAGTTGACTTTGTTTGACTTTGACTTGACCGAAATTTGATGGTTGTCACATCATCCCCCCGTTAGAGGGAATTTCGTCCCGAAATTTGCATTTTGATTGGGACTTCAAGAGTTTGGAAAAAGATGTGGAAAACTTTTCGTAGTACAAGAAATTGATTATGGTGAGGAACAACCCTCCTGATGTCACATGATGACCTTGGAAATTTCTTATTGTAACTTGAACTGAGTCAATTTAAAAGGAGTTTATTGTTTTGGGATGATAGAGTATTCTATGTGTGCTTTTATACTCCCTGTTTTATCCTTGGTATTACCACTATGAATATTTTATAACGTAGTTAGCGAGTTCCATCATTACGAATGTTTCAACAAATTTTGACGAAATTTGCATTATAAGTCCTACAAGTTCTTTTATAGTCGATTGACGTAAACTAGTCGTATATCATTAAGATTGCAAGGGCATTTTGGATGGGTGACCCCGCCTTAAGCCCACAACCAAACAAGGAACAGGGAATGAGGCGGAATCACACATTCTAAGTCCATAGAATCTTAATGATATATGACCATAATGTTTACACTAGCCCTCATAGATTCCAGGGGCGTAGTATTATTGGGCTAGAAGTAGGAATTGTAGTTCAAAATAAAATAGTTATAAGCCTGCTATCTTCAAACTTGGGCTTTGGCCCCTCCCGATTCCTA